CTTTGGATTTAGGAAGCGGTCGAGGCAAATTCACCCAGGACGGCTGTGGAGTTTTCAAGGACGCGGGTTTTCCTTGGGGGTTTCAAAAAAGAAAAGAAAAAAGTTTCCATTTCTATTCATCTTGAAAGCTGGCACTTTAAGCTTGTGAACTCCAACTTTTGCACTAACACTGGGGTCGAAATGCAAAATGAATATTCGGAATCACATAACTTCAGATGAAAGACGAAAGGTTCACACAGACTTATTTTTGATAAGTGAGGGGCAAAAGAGCAGAGATGAGGCGGCAATTAGGATATGAGACGTGTGGCTGTCACCCTGTAACCTAAAGTAATTGACTCACAAGTCTCTCAAGTGAGAGGGCAGATCAGAAAAATCATGTGAGAAAGCAGCTCATGGCAAAGCTGAAATCAAACAAATTTATATGACCTCCCCATACTGTTGATTAAAAAAAAAAATTAGTCCACGTACAAAACTAGGCTACCGTATAAAAAATAAGTGCAAATGTAAAAACCACCAAATCAGGAAGAAAAATTCAATTTGGTAACAAAAGTTTCATTTGAAAAATGCCTAATGCCTAACACCAGGTGGTGCTATATTAATATTCTTTTTTCATCTCATCTTTTCTTCTTTACTCCCCACAGTTTACTTTGCCAAACCTAAATGGTCTTCAGACGTCTAATTCTTTCTTGCAGCGAAAGTGTTTCCACTTATCAGTTAAATATATACGCTTCCCTCCTATCCTCTGACCCGTCCGAAACCACACTATCCTGATGCTCACCCCTGCCACCCTGGCAAGTAAGGGGCATTTGCCAAGTTTGATCCTTTGCTCACAATTCCTCACATTCATTCTCTTGGAGAGTCTATTTTATTTACTTTAACCACACAGATGAATCCCACATTCTCACTTGTGGCTTCGTCTTCCTTCTGACTTCCAATGCCACTCAAGTTTTCAATCCTTGTTGAGTGTTTCAACTTGGACTGATGCTCTCCTACCTACTGATGCTAAGTTTAGCTCCATTTTTTTTTCCTTTTTTTCAGCCTCAAAACAGTGAAATCATTCTTTTTTCCCATATCCTCATATAATCTAGCATCAGGTCCTTCAATGCTACTAGTGCCACATAATTAAAGAATATCAAGAGTTGAAAAAAGACTTTTGATGAAAATAATATTGTCACATACGACTAAGGACACAATAGTGAGTCAAGTAATGTTGCTGGCAAGTAATCCTCATTGCTTTGTCCCAGAAATTTCACTTATAGAAATTTCATCTTAATAGAGAAAAAGGGGCTGGGCATGGTGGCTCACGCCTGTAATCCCGACACTTTGGGAGGCCGAGGCTGGAAGATTGCTTGAGGCTAGCAGTTCAAGACCAGCCTGGGCAACATAGTAAGACCTCATCTCTACAAAAAAATTTAAAGATCAGCCAGGTGTGGTGTGGTGCATGCTCGTAGTCCCAGCTACTCAGGGGCCTAAGGTGGGAAGATAACTTGGGCCCAGGAGTTGGAGGTTACAGTGAGCTATGATCAGGCCACTGCGCTCCAGCCTGGGTGACAGCAAGACCCTGTCTCTCTCAAAAAAAAAAAAAAATAGGTAAGAAAGAGCTCAAGATCCTTAAGTCTGGCATTTGAAGTCACCACACTAAGGCTCTCCCACCTAGCTCCAGCCCTACTCCCATACTGCCCTTTGACATCAGCAAACATTCTGCCCCCATCATCCTAGTTTTCTCCCTGACACCATGCGCTATTCAACTTCACTAGGCACATCATTTCTTTTCAAAGAGTTCTTCTTCCTCTCAATCCAAGTCCTACGAATCCTTATTTATGCCCCTGTATCTCGCCTACACAACTGTATTAGCCTCCTAAAGTCCTGTCCTTCCATCGCTTCCAACTCCATCACGTCCATTTCCCGAACATGAAAATTAAGGTCGGGACCCCATCTAAAATTTGGGATTCCCCATCATCTATAGGACGGTGATCTTATTTTCAAGCCTCTTGATTAACATTTAATTTTAAAGGCATAAAAGGCAGTCCTAGGGCTGACTCCTGCCAACTTCTCCCTTACGCCATGTCCCCACCCCTCGATGCCCCCCCACACGCCCCCACAGTTGCTTCTCTCCAGGCTGCTTCACTCTATTCTCTGGCTGGCGCCCATCCTCGTGACTGAGAAGGCCTCCTTGCCGTCCAGTCCTCTATCTGCATCCAGTGAATGCAAAGTCGGCTCAAGACTCTCTTCTAAACCCTTGCTACTCATCTGTAGCTCCACCCTGGATCTACTGAATCACCATCTGCATTTTAACATGATCGCCAGGTGACTAAAATACACACTAAGTTTCAGAAGCACCGTTGAGAATTGCAACCTCTCTGTGCGCCTCTCCTGCCGGGGCACCCTCACCTGTGTACAGTGGGCTACACCTTCCCTTCCGCTCACACAACACTTGCTACTATATCGTAACAGCTGCTTCCGTGTGTCTCCCGGACTACTCTCTAGGGTCCCTGCAAAGAGGAAGAGCACCCGATTCGATTCTGTCCCTTAGCAAATGGCCAAGTATCTGGCATGGAATAAAACTTAGTAAATTTTGCTGAATGAATTAATTTTTCTTTTAATGCTCATAGTAAGTGAC